CAGAGAGGATTTACTTTTGATTCTGGCAGGCAGGGAAGGTAGGAGATGATCACTGTAAACCAGTGATTCAGGTGATTAACACCTGAGCTTCAGTTTTTATAAGGGATGGTCTATTGCTGACTCACTGCTACTACTAGAGTCAAGCTCTTCTGTGAACAAAGTGTGAAACCTGGAATGTTTATCAGGGCCCCTCCTTTTTGGTGGCTCTGAACTCCAGTTTTTATACCCCTAAGGCCATGGTATTGCCAGAAGCTCTCCTTGGCATCTCAGTTTCTCAACCAAAACTCTTAAATCAGCAGATGCTTTGGGGACAGCAGAGACACCACATGGTGGGCTCACTCCTCTATGTTTCTCGTCTCTCTAAGATCTTGGCTCCTTCAGTTCCAGCTGCCTTTGCAGTGCTCTGAGGCCTCATACAGACTCCTGTGACACTTTTGTCTAGATTTCTGTGATATTCTTGGTGGAAATGTTGGTCCGTAACAATCTAACCCTCTGTTACCTTCTATTGCCATTTCTATGCAGTGTTTCCTACCCCCTGGACACTTGTGGTCCAACAGAAGCTACCATTTAGATTGTCAGTCAGCTGCTACCTGGGAGTGCCCAGCTCCATAACATCCCCATCATGGCTACAGAAGTGGACATACCCTCTATTGTAAAAACACCTATGTGCACTTCTGAGGTCCACTGTGTCTTCTGTCCACCCACCTTTTTCAATTTCATCTCCATGCCATTCTGCATGGAAGCACTTCTGAAGTCCTTCCTTTCACTCAGGAGGCCCCTCCTCACCCTCCCACTCACTCTCTGTCTCTGCTAGACTGTGCCCTTCCCTCCCCAGGTCACAAACAAGAAACAGGCCCTGGAGGAGCAGCTGGCACAGAGCCTGCAGGACCAGGAGGCCCAGATGGACACTCTGAAGCAAGCTCTGCAGGAGAAGGATGCTTTGTCTGAGGAACGGGCCCAGCTACTGTCCAAGCAGGAGGCCCTGGAGAGGCAGGGCCAACTCATGGCTGAGGAGGCAGCTGGTCTCAGGTACCCATGGGCCTGCCAGTCAGAGCATGTCCCATGTGGCCTCATCTCAGAGACCCTACAGTGTGGTGGGGGTGGGGGGACACCCCCACACTGACACAGGGCAGGACAAATGTGTCTGTGCATGTGAGATGGGCTGTGAGTGAGGGGCAAGCACAGTGCCTTTGGGGTGAGGAGAGCATCTAGAAGAGGCGAATCCAGTGAGAACCCTGGGGTCACCTTGTGACAGAGATGGGGGCAAGTAGCAGAAACCCAGCTCAGACCACTGGAAGGAAGACATGGCATGGAATGTCTTGCTTATGGATATGAGAAGTTCGGAGTGATTCAGCTTCAGGCAAGGCTGGAACCAGGCACTCCCACAGAGCCCTCAGGATCCTGCCTTTCCCTCCCTCAATGCTGTTTGACTCTGAGGAGATTTCATTCCCAAGAAGACTCACCCTGAGAGGTGGCAAAGTAGCCAGTAGCGACTCCAGGGTCCTTCCTACAACAGACAAAGATCAGCCTTCTCCCCACATGGACCGATAGCAGCTGCCAGCAACCATCATGACCTACCTGACATCCCTACACCAGCCCTGGGAGCCAGGAGTCACAGGGCTCTGATGGCCAAGACCAGGTCCCATGCCCATCCCTAGAGCCAAGGGCAGGATCATCCCCAGGGAACCACAAGGCAAAGTGCGGCCACAGTGAGCCCCCAAGACCATTGGGGGCAACTTCCAAAAGCTGGAATAGGCACTTCTAGGCAAGAACAAGGGTGCCCCGTAGGCTGTTGCCTGGCGAGCTGAACTGGTCTTGAGGCCTCTGCAGAAATCCCAAAGCCAGTGGCTTTCTGCACCTCATGGGCCCTTCTCAAGAACACCTAAGTATTTTTGTAGAACATCTTTCCTCCTGGAACTCCAGAATCAAGGGGCCATGAGAAATCTTGGAGTCCCAGATCCTTGAACTTCTTCACAGACAGACCCCTCCTGCAAATGAAAGCTGGCACAGAAATGACAACAGAAAAGCCAAGGAGGCTTCTCTGGGCTGGTGGGAGCAGAGGGGTCCTGGGCCCCAGGGGCTCAGAGGACCAGAGACTGGAGGCTCCTTTCCTCCCTGCGGTGTCTGCTGCCAGAACACAGACGCCCTGGCTGGAACCCTCAGCAGCCTGGGACCCTGTCCCTGTGGTTCCCCTGGCCTCCGCCCTGACTACTGGACCCAGTGTCTCTGGCTGTACAGTCCCCAGACAGTCATAGTCCACCAAACGGCATCTCGTGATGGCCATCCCAAGCTTCTGGTAACAGGGCCGCTTGGGGACTTGTCTGGAAGCCACATCTGCTCTGCACGCACTCTGTGTTCTTCTGGCCAGCTCAGTGGGGCCGGAGGGTGTGGACGCTGCTATTTTAATGAGCTTTCTGGTAACACTGATGACAGTCAAGTGTGGGAAGTCCTGCGGCAGCTCCCCCTTCTCCTGATGAAATCCCCCATGTCCACCTTATGAAGGGCACCCAGCTTCCAAGGTCCTTGAGCCCCCTACTCCCAGGTTCTGATGAGGCTGAAATACTGGGACCCTCTCTCTGAGTTCACGGGGTGCTGGCCTGCTGTCAGCAAGATGGACCAGGGTCCCCGCCTACACACCACGCTGGGTCCTGACCCCCACCCCACACGGCCTCCCGCTTGCTCAGAGCACACTGCTGTGAGCCAGGCCTTGCTCCTGGGGGCTCAGCAGCAGCCGAGAGGCTCTTAGACTCCTGCAGAGGGAGGGACACACACACAGTCAAGCTTCAGGCAAAGGTGTGTGATGTCTGAGCAGCAGAGGCCACATGCCCCAGAGGACAGCAGGCGGGCACCCAGGAGGAGGAGGGTGCAAAACGGATGCGAAGGGAGGATTTTCTCCATGCAGAGTGGGGAGAGTACCAGTGGAGGGGATGCTCGCAGACACGGGGTGGGGGTACACGGGGGTACTCCCAGGGCACAGCATGGTAACAATCTAGATGTGCTGGTGATGACTGTCTGGTTGATAATGGAAGAATTCATTGTCAGAAATTCAGAGTCCTTTGTTACCCTCCCCAGAAACAGCAGCTGTTGAGAGCTGGTGTGCATTGTTCCAGGAGTCTCCTGAGCGATTGCGTCTGTGTGCACAGACAGAGCAAGGCAGCTTTCTACATCACGGAAGCAATCTGCGTGCAAAGCTCTAATTTGGCAGGCTGCTTTTGGCGGTGACTCCTTTCATGGCAAGAGAATACAGTCTCCCTGTCCTTGTTAACGACTGCATAGTGCTCCAGAGACAAGATGCACCCTAATTTCAAGAACATTCTCCCATTTATTGGCACTTCAGCCGAGTCCAATTAATGCCCTGTGAAAAGCTGCCGTGGGCACATGTGCTTCTGTAGAACTGATGCCTACAAGTGGACTTGCTGGGTCAAAGATATGCACACTCTAAGTTTTGCAATTTCCCCACCCTCGCACCAAAAATGGCCCTCACAACCTTGCCAACACAGGATACCGTCACTGTTTTAAGCTTTTGCTAATCTGATGCACAGTTGGGATTTGAATCTCCCTGAGCACTAGTGAGGTTAAGCAGGTTTCATGTGTTTTTTAGCCATTTCTGTGTTCTTTGTGAATAACAGCCTTTTTCTCAGTTTTCTGCAGGGTCAGCTGACTCTGTCATTGATTGGTAGGAGATGTTTGTACATGATGGACAGTAATGCTTTGCTTGTGTATTTAGTGCAGATTTTTCTCCAACTTGGTCCCTTGTCTTTTAAGTTGGTTTGCAGAATCTTTTCTGCAGAAAAGTGTATCTCTTTAAGTGTGTTTGGATCTGTCAGCCTCTTAACGTTTGTCTTCTGGCTTTTGTGTCTTACTTAAGAAGACGATAAAGCGCTCATCTGTATTTTTCCTACTATTTTTGTAGCTCTGAGTCGTTCTGTTGTTACTTCTTTGTTTTATTTCAGTTTTACATTTAGCTTTTTATTCCACCTGAAACACACTTTTGTGAAGGGTCCAGTTCATTCTTAGGGATTTGACATGAGCGAGGCCCCCCGTGGCTTTTCTGACTTTCTACCCCAGCCTGGGCCCTGCACCAGTCCTCGCGGGCAGGACCACGTGGGTGACTTGCCTCTTGTCTGATGCTCCTCTGCAGGGCCGAGAGGGACTCTCTGGAGAGCAGCCTCTTTGAGGCCCAACAGCTGGTGTTGCAGCTGCAGGCTCAGCAGGAACAGCTGGAGGGACAGGTCCAGAGCACACGGCTCGCTCGGCAGGCCCTGCAAGGTGCCCCCGCAGGTGGACCCTTTGCTCCTCCCCTCTGAGTCAGCTGCAGAAGGACCCTTTGAATGGAGCTCAGTCCCCAGACGTGCTGCTCCCACTCCCCAGACCCCAAAGGTGCACGAACATGGGCCTGGAGCTCATGTGGCTGAACGAGCCCCTTGCCTACGAGGAGGAGGCGGGTGCCCTGCTTTCGGCATCTGGTGTTGGCCCAAGGCTCACAGCTGGTCAGCGTGGTGGTCTCTTGCCCCACTCCCTGCGCCCTTGCTCCTGCCCAGCCCCCTACCGTGTGCTAGCCACCCAGCCCTGAGCCCGGCCACAGGCAGAGCAGGTGGCCGTCACTCCACAGGGAGCTCACAACGGCCGCTGGGGTTTCTAGTGCACAGCCCTGCGGCCAGTCCCCGACACGCCTGTCACTTCACAGGGGAAATGGAGCAGCTGAAAAGTGACTGGGAGGCCCAGGAGACGAGGCTGCAGCAGGACGTGCGGCGGCTCCAGGAGCAGGTGATGCAGCGGGAGCAGCACACACAGCTGGCCCTGGAGCGCCAGGCGCTGGCCCACCGCGAGGACCTGGCGCGGCTGCAGGGGGAGAAGGTGTGCTTCCCAGGGCCCACCTGGCTGCTTCCCGGGATCTACCATGTCCTAAAGAATGTCAGACCCCTGGTGGGAGGGGCCCGAGGAGAGGGCAGGGGAGGGCGCACTGGGGACCTGCTCACTCTTTACAGTTCAAGTGGTGGCCCGGGGCCTTCGCCAGGAAAGTCCTCACGATGCGCATGCATGCAGGGTGGGCTTCGCCCTCATAGACCTGGCTTCAGCCTGAGGGCCACGGGCCAGAGGGGGCCTCATCCCCCATCTGAGCCGTGCTGGTCACAGGCTCCTGCAGGCTTCACATGCTGGTGGCACACTGTAGAGGCTCAGGAGGGTTTATGAACTGTTAGGTGAGTGTGGGATGGTGGATGGCGAGGCACAGAGAGGCCCTTCCCAGCTCTTGCTTCTATGCACCTATCAGGGAGACAGGCTGAGGTGGGGGTGGCGGGAGACAGGCTGGCTCTGATGCCCTGGGTGGTCCCATGAGCAGTCTCACCTGCTGTCTCACGTGCCCTGACGTCACAGCCTGCCCTTTGCCTCGGCCCAGGAGACCCTGAGGTTGTCCCTGGCAAGGGAGAAGGAGGCTGCCTGCCGGCTGGAGCAGGAAAAGGCGCTGGTGGCAGCAAGTGCAGCCGAGAGGGAGGCTCTGCGGGTGGATCAGGACGAGCGCCTCCTCCGGCTGGAGCAGGAGATGCAGCAGGTGAGGACCACCAGGAGGCAGCGGGCCCAGCACAAGGGCTGCGTGGGGGCCGCCTCGCCCGGTCACTGCTGTTGCAGCTCTGGTCTTCCACAGCAGTCCTGGTGGACAGACATCCACCCCCCAGTTCACCTGAACATCCGTCCAGCTGTCCATGCACCCGGCCATCCGGCACTCGCCTACCACTTACCTGTCCAGAACTCACCCCGGCAGTTATTGGCCCCCTGACCATCCATCCGTCCATCCCCCTAAACATCCTTGCATCTGTCCTCACACTCAGCTGTCCGTCCACATACCCAAGCAGCCATCCATTTGTCTGAATTCTCCATCCACCTGGTCAGCCAGCCAGTCGTCCAATCATCCACCAACGTATCCACCAACTCACCTGGCCACCAGTCCAAGCACACGACTGTCGCCCACCCGCCCACCTGACCATCCTGCCGGCCCGCAGGCTGTTGGGGCTCAGACGCGGGGCCTGTAGAAGCCACCTGAGTCCAGGCTTTGCCGGCAGACTGTGCCGGCCTGAAGAGCTCACTGTTGAGTGGGTGGAGCAGACACGTAAACACACCTGTACGTGTTGTCACACAGTGTGTGTGATGAGCACGGCAAGTTGTCGATACACATTGTAACCCGCAAGGGAGGAGTGGCCGTAGCTGGAGCAGCCAGGACTCTGTGCTGCTAACTTGACCCTCGCAACACTCGGGGCTCCGTGCTCCTACTACCCCCATTTTACTGGTGAGGAAACCAAGGTCCACAGCCATCGAATCCCTCGGGCAGTTGGCACAGGACCCCTGCTGGGCGTGTCCCATGCTCTCAACTGCCCCTCTACTCTGCATCCTGAGACAGAGGAAGCAAGTGCCTCGAAGGGGAAGAGGAGGCTCCAGGTGGGGGCATCGCGGCATGTCAGGATGGCGTGCAGTGCAGCTGCCGGAGTCGGGGCGGCGAGGAGGGTGCAGGGAGCCAGGAAGGGCCTCACACACCAGGGGCAGCTGGCGGGAAGCCAGCGGGTGTTCTTGAGCAGGGATGATGTGATGCTGCTTGCTCGGAAGAGAGGCTGGAGCCAGGAGCATGGGGAGTGGCCACGGGCCAAGCCAGAGCCAGGCAGAGGAGGACGGGTGCATCCAAAGACCCCTGGAAGGTGGCGGGAGAGTCTCAGGGGGGCAGCACAGCTGGGAGAGTGGGCGGGCGGTCGGGGTCCCCATGCAGCCCCCTCACTCCCGTCCAAGACCAACACCGGGCCACCTGCCATTCTCATGAGGCCACATTGCAGCTTCCAAATATCACACACAGCCCCAAGAGTGGGACTTCGTCATAGAGGAGAGCAGGCTGAGATGGCAGAAAGATGTCACCTGCTCATGGCCTTCCCTGGACCACAGCATGACAATGGTCAGTCATGGCATGGAAGGCCAGGCCTGTGGGCAGTTGTTGCCGGTGCAGCAGGTGGGCTTTCTCTGGACCCCGCCTGCCCTGCCAGCTGCCCTTCGTTTCAGGTGGCCTGTGCAGAGAGGGGACCCAATGTGCAAATTCCGCAAGCTTCCCTGAGGACACTGTGATGTCCTCAGTCACAAAACAGTCTTCCAGAGACTTTACTTCTATAACAAAGAGAAGTTCTGTGTGGAGCAAGAATCAAAGAAATGGAGCGTCCAGCCCAGGAGGGACTGTTTGCATGTCCATCATCTGGTCGCGCCTCCTGGGTCTGAAGTGTGACCACCCACACCTGTCTGCAAAATGAAGCCCTTGCCCAGTGGATGCCAAACTTCTATCTTGGATGATGTTTTCCTAAAATTTGAACAAATGCTTTGCTGCTGTGTCCGCTAGTGAGGGTCACAGAGGGAGACACAAGGCCTCGCCCTGAGAGACCCTACAGTCCTGCGAGGGTGGTAGGTCTGTAAAGAGCTAACAGTACCTCAGGCAGAACCACATGAGCATGGACTCAAGGGAGGGAGAAGACCGAGGGGGGTGCTGACTTTTTTAATTGTTTAAAATATAGAAAGGCATTCAACGAAGAGTGTCCCCTGTTCCTGCTCTTCACGTCCCCTGCTCCTCAGGGAGCCACCATATTCATGTTTACCTCTCTGCAGTGCTGCAGTGCAGTTCCGACACTAACTCCCCTGAGTTTGCACAGCCCCTCAAGACTGCCATTGGTGCAGACACCAGCTGCAAGTTCAGGGCCCTCCCAGCCACCCACACTTCTGACCAGCTGAGCACACGTTTGGGGGTTTCCATGATCCCCTTGGGCTCAATAATTCATTAGAATGACTCACAGAACTCAAAAGAGCACAGTACTTACTATTACAGTTTTACTATAAAGGATATAAATCAGGACCAGCCATAAGAAAAGACACATAGGATGGGGTCTGGGCAAGTCCCAGACACAGAGCTTCTGTGCCCTCTCCCTGTGCAATTAGTGTGATGCTGTCCCAGCTCTCTAATGTGCACACCCACCAGGAAGCCCCACTGAGCACTGGTGTCAGAGTTTTTATTAGAGTTTCACTACATAGCATGTGATTGAAGTAAGTTTCTAACCCCCCTCCCCAGAGGCTGGGAGGTTGGGCTGATATCCCAGGGCTCAAAGCCCCAGCCCCCTAATCACATGGTTGGTCTTTCAGGCATGGACAGCCCCATCCTGAAACCATGAGTCAGCTCATTAGCATAATCTCAGGTGCACTCCCAGGGCCGACCATGAACAGCACAAACACTCCTCACCTGGGAAATTCCCTCCCAGGATCCAGAACAAAGACCGGATAAGTCTCTTATGATGCAATATCCTCCCAAAGATTACTTGCAAACAGAAATGTATAGTGTTATCCCCACTCCCCACCTTGTTAACACAAAAGCCATAAAAAGCCATGCCATCTCCTGGGCCTTTCTTTTCTCAGTTCTCACTGTATTTTGGAGGTCTTTCCACATCCGTGTTCTCAGAGCTTCCTTTTTCTTTTTCACGGCTGTGTGATGTCACGGCTGTTGGGGACACAGATCCTCACTGGTTTTGCTGGTATCTCGGTGGTCATCTGTGCTGCCTGTGGCTTTGTTGCTGTTACAATGTTATAAACAATCACTGATGATGCTGAGCATAGGTCATGCCACGTGTGCACACACGCATCTCCAGGCTGCCCTCCCCCACGTGGGCCTGGGCATAGTGAGAACGTGCATTGTGACTTTGATGGGCTTTGCCAACCCTCTTCCACCTTCCACAGACTTGCCCCAGAGCAGACTCCACCCTTGGAGTTGGTGGGTGGCATGTGCATCCCCCATACCATCAGCAAGGTGGAGCATCTGGGGTGTTTAAGGACCATCAGTGGTTCCTTCTCTGTGCACTGTAGGAAGCGTTGCCTGGAGGGAAGGGGGAAGGTGGTTCATGAAGCCCCCTGACCTGTGCTGGGAAAGAGCAGGATTTTGTAGGGTGCAGGATGGGGAAGGGCACCCCAGTGAGGGGCACTGCTGGAGCACAGACACGGAGGTGGGACAACGTCAGATGGAGGGGAGGGGGCTTAGGCAGTGAAAGGGCCAGGACCTGAGGGCTGCCTCTGCGGATGCTGCCCCCTCCTCAGCATCAGGGATGTGGAGACAGGAACGAGCTGTGTCTGGTAGCCTCTCCTTAAAGAGGTGGGGCGGGTGGGTCTGGCCCCTTCCCGAGCCTCCCCAGCTCTCTCACAAGCACCCCTCCCATCCAGGCCCTGTCTCTGAAAGAAGCAGAGAGGAGCCTGCTGAATGAGGAACTCTCCAGAGCCACACGGGAGCTGGAGCGTGTGCGGCAGAAGGCCCAGAGCCGGCAGGAGCAAGCCGAGGTGAGCCCCACGCCACCCAAGCCCAGGACTGGGGCCCACCTGGCCGTGTGCACAGCCCACAGGTGCTGACAGAGCCCAGATGCATCCCCTTCCTGCCTGGTCCAAGCAGCAAGTCCCCAGCATCCCCCTTTGCCTGAGCCTCAGTTTTCCCCCAGTGTGTCCAGGTCTCCTGCTTGGAGAGGACACTGTCCTGATGGGCAGAAAAGGCCACAGTGAACCAGAACCATGACGGCAGGCCATGAGCACCGGCTCTACTTGGCCCAGATCTCCTTTGCCGCTGGGACTGGCAGAGGCCAGAGAGGGGAGGGCCTGCTCCAGTCTGGGGCCGACCATGAGCTGTTCCCCCTACCCCCCAGCCTTGCCTATCTGTGCACTTGAGCTGTCGTAGCAAAGCACAGCCAGGGAAACATACGCACAAGGCCTCTTGGAACTAACTCACTGGACAGATCCCTTCCAAGGAGAAACTAAACCAGAGGAGGCTGGCACCGTACCCGAGGCAAACCCTCGGCTGGAAAGACACCCACGTTGAGTCCTCTCCTCCCCAGCCCTGGCCTCTCTGGCCCCTCTGGCTGTACACACCCAGTTAGCAGGGACTGCACCATGACGCCCGCACTGCGGCGCCTGCACCGCGACGCCTCTGCCCCTGGCCTTGGTCCTTCCAGCCCTCACCACCTTTGGTGACGATGCTGCTCATTCTGGTACTTGTTCGCTTGTTTAATCCCACGAGATCCTGTCCCATCCTGGTCCCTGGCCTGTCCCCAGCCCTGAACACAGGGTTAGATGCGTCACAGGTGCTGGATGAATGATGGCGGAAGTCAGGGAGCGGGTGCGTGCACGAAACGCGGCCCGCGTGCCAGGCCCCAGCTGCTGCGCGCCCCTCCCATGCACGGGAACCGGTCCTGCTGACTTGCATGGGAGGCGTGAGCAGGCCGCCCCGCTGGGGGCCCTGCGGAGGCCGCTGGGTTTACCCTGACCTGTAGGAGAGCTGGGGGCAGGGAGAGAGCCCCCAGGTGCTGTGTGGCAGGAAGGGTGCTGCAGTTAGGAGCCGGCTGCCAGGGTGTTTCTTCACCCCCTCCTGCCTGACGCCCCCACCCGGATCCCAGCCACTGTGAGCAGGGCAGCCCAAAGGAGCTCCTGGCACCCCAGGAGAGCCCTGCCTGGAGCTTGTCGCTGGCTCCCTGGAGCCCCCACCCCTGCTCGGTTCCCGCCCCTGAGTCTTGGATGGTCTGCGGGGCCCAGGAGGACCACACCCAGCACTGGGCTGTGCCCGTGCCCCTCCTTCCTCCCGACCCCTGGCCCTGCTGCTCCGAGGGCTCCGCCTTGTGGGCAGGGAACCAGGACAGTCCTCCTGAGACCCTGGGAGCTGAGTCCTTGGCTCGCAGGGGGCCTCCTCGGAGCCAGCACTGGCTTCCAGAGCCTTCTCTTGCACTGGCCCTGAGTCTCCCCCTGGACTTGGGACTAGGCCTGCCAGCCAGCCAGGCTCTTTGGGGAGCTCATTAAGTGTTCTTTTGCCACCTCGGCTCAGAAAGTGGAAATTAAAATCACCGAGAGGAGAGGGAAGAGAAGAATGCCAGCCAAGGAACACCAGCTGTGGGATGGCACAAAAACGAGCCGCCCGGGTGGGCACAGGGGCCTCCCGGGCTGAGTCACTGCAGCTTCCGGGGGCTCCTGGTCAGTGCCCTGTCCCCGAGGTGAGGTCCACACAGAGGTGCCCCACAACCGGACCTCACTGAGCACCCTCCGTGGGCAGTTCTGGGGCCCCACCTGGCCCAAGGGAGGCCAGTTGGTCAAGAGGGACATCAGGGGCTGGGGACGGGTAAGGCACCAGGGATGGCTCTTCTGCCAAGAGCAGGAAACAGAACCTGGCGGGAGCTCCCACCCTGGCAGTGCCCTCGGCAGTCTGCAGAATCCAGGGGGCAGGAGGGGTCTCGCAGAGACCTGGCACAGGCGCAGCCGTATGGGCACCTGTGCCTCCCTGGAACACAAAGCTGGCTCTGGAGGGGACCTGTCCTCCCACCAGCTGCCCCCTTGCATAGCCAGCTGAACGGTACAGTCCCCCAAGCCCACAGGCACTGTATCCCACTGAACCCCTCCGGCTGAGGACACTGCAGCCTCAAGGCTGAGCCCACCCTGGGCCGGCCAGGCCTGCTGCCCCAACCTGGGACCAGAGGGTGGCAGGGGGTGAGCAGGGTGGTGTCCCTGTCCAGGGATGAGGAGGTGCTTCAGGCTTCGCTGCGGGCCAAGCCCAGAGCCCATCAGCCAGAGGACCCCTGTTGAGAGTGCCCAGGAGCGAGCACTCTCGTGTAGAAGTGCTTCTGGAAGAGCAGATTTGGGCCGAGCTGGGTCCCGAATGGACGTCAGTGCTGCCTGAGCGGGGCGGTGGCAGCTGCAGGGATGGTCCCGCCCTGTGGTGCGCAGGCTGAGCCAAGGGGCACCTGCCAGGCATGACCGTGGTACTCTAACGTTTAGGGCTAGCAGGACAGTGGGCATCCCCTAATCCCACCTGTCTGTTTGACTATTCAGGAAAGCAAGGGACAGGTGCCTGGGGCCCACATGGCAGCAGGATCCAGCTCTCCCCCTCCTGGCCACGGCCATGTCCCCTTCCCTGTGGCCTGGCTTTCCTCTCCCCGCACTGATGGGCCCGGTCCCTGGGGAGGGGAGAGCCCCACACCCCTGTGCTGCCCAGCACAGAGGCTCCGGCCACAGGGCCTTGGGACGTGGGATGCTCCTCCTGTGCCTGGCGAGGGCAGAGGTTGGCCCAGGCTCCACTGCCAGGGGGTGTCCCGGTGCCAGCATCACTTGAGGGCATGGCCTCTTCCCATTTGCCAAATGGCCGTTCTCACCCCCTCACCCCTCTGCAGAGCATTGAACAGGAATGTTTTAGGCAGGAAAGGGGTTGGCACTTGAGTCCCCCCACTGGGCCCCCGCTGCCCACCCTGCCCAGGTCTGGCAGCTTGGGGACCCCAGAGGAGAGGCATGTAGGGGTGCCTGGGGGCCCCTCCCTCATGGGGAGCTCCCCTCAGGGCCTCCGCCCATCCTTCGTCACCACACGCTTGGCACGGTGGCGTTGGCCACCATCAGCCTAAGAACCTGCCTCGAGCCCGGCCTGGCTCCGGCTGCTGCCCACCTCCTGCAGCCTGGAGAGCAGCTGGTCGGGGCCCGGGACGGTGCGGCTGCAAGCAGACTCCTGGGGCCGGCCTCCCGCATGCGTCAGTGGCCGCCTGTCCCCCAGGCCATCATCAGCACCACCACGGAGGAGCTCAAAGCCCTGCAGGTCCAGTTCGAGGACGCCATCTCCAGCCATCAGAGAGAGGCCACGGCGCTGAGCGAGGGTCTCCGGGAGATGGCGGCAGAGCGAAGCAAGGCTGGGAGACAGGTGGGGACAGGTGCCGGGAGGGAGGGGAGCGGGGGGACGGCCGAGGAAGGGGCGGGGGGGTGCCACATGCCTCGGCCCCCACCTGACATGCTGACCGGACACCACGCTCTCTCAGAACTGTAAGACGGCACCTGGCACCTGCCATCAGCTGAGAGAAAGAGGACACTTTAGTAAAAGGAAGGTGTCATTTCCAAAGGGATGAATTTGGCTTCAGGGGAGAAAGTGGGTCTCCCCCGAGTCAGGGGTCTGGGCGAGGGAGCAGAGCTGCCCGCGGGCCACTGCAGGGCTTTGGCAGGGGTGGGGGTGGCTCCTGCCAACCCTGTTTTGTGGGGTCTGAATGTCACAATGTCAGGGGCACTGCCCGCAGGAGGACCAGCCCGTGCAGCGCTGGCAGGAGCTGCTCAAGTCTCCAGGGCCCCGGTCCAGCGCTCTCGTCGCACACCCAGTGCACGAGCCAGATCAGAGAGGGGGAGCCATCCTGTGCAGCAGCTGCAGCCTCTCCCGAGGCCCCCCGAGAGGCAGGCATCACCTGGGGACCCTCAGCCTAGAGACCCGTCCACCCACAAGCCACAGCATGAGGCATAGACGCCATCCGACTGGCACTGGGGTGGGGCGAGGATGGATTTGGGGGTTCCTGGGGTGGAGGGGCAGGAGAAAAAGTGGGGGTTTTAGAGGGGCTTTCATGGGTGGCTGTGACACAGAGGCCCTGAGGAGCCATGTGGCGGAGGCGCTGGGTGGGAGAGTCTTGGGCAGAGGCGGGGAGGCTGTGTGAGGCCAGCCAGGGCTCAGCAGACATGCAGGTCACAGAGGTGTTTCTGAAGAGGTTTGACAGGACTCGGGGACACCCGTGAGAGGTGAGGGCCAGCGGGCATGTGGATCTGGGCTGGAGGAGGGGAGGGTCAGTGGAGCCCAAGGGACGCCCAGGGGTACGAGGTGGCTCTGTGCACTCCCTGGGCTGAGTGCCAAGGTGGGCGGGCGGCTGACCTGGAGCAGGAGCCAGGCCCCAAGGCCAGGCCGGCCGGGGATGGCAGAGGGGCTCAGCCCTCCCCAAGCACCCCCCGAGGACAGGCCGAGCTCAGGGCCCCCAAGAGAGGAAGAGAGCGTGATTTAACATGACGGGCTGTTTACATTGGCCCCAACGAGAAAGGTCTCCTTTCAGCAGATTTCAAAGTCAGGCCCGGTCAGCGACCACACGGGGAAGAAAACGAGATTTCAGAACCGGGGGGCAGCGGGGGAGGGGCAGGGATGGGGCACACGTGTTCTGGCGGCATGGAGGAGAGAGCGCGGGCCTCGCAGGAAGTCGGGTTCCCAGAGAGGCGGCCCTGGATGGGAAGTGGGGGCGACGGGAGCCGAAGGGCGACGGGGCAAGGGGAACAGAGATGGGGGGGGGCTCCCAGGCACCAGGCTGGCCTGGGGCCACCATGAAAACCATAACATTTTCACAGCCTTTAAGCTGAAGGAACTTCCAGGCCCTCACAGCCCTGCCCAAGGTGCACATCCGTGTACATGCATGCACACACAGACACACACGGAAGCCCGCATGTGGACAGTGTGCACACACATGTGCATACATGTCATGCACACAAGATCACACACACAAAAAGCAATAAGCACACACTGTGCACACACAGGCATGCCCCATACGTGCCTGCACGCACAGGCCCATGCATGTAAACACACATGGACAACATGCAGTGCCCACATGCGTGCATGAAGGCACATGCCAAATGCACACATGTGCATGTGCACACACACATGCACGCACATGAACAGACTGCGTACACACACTGCGCACACACCGGTGCACGCTCGCACGTGTACGCACACCCGGCACACACGCAGCACGAGCGGCCCCTCCCGCCTCCCTCCGCTGCCCTCCTCCCCGCAGAGCTCCGGAGCTGCCTCCCCGCAGGAGATTTCAAAAGAGGCTGTTTGTACAACTCCTAGTGAAGAAATAATTATTATAATCACATTAAGCGATTTGGCTGTAAAGTTCCTGTAAAAGGCACGGTTGTTCTCCCGAGGCAGGGCAGGCGGGGGCGGGCGGGGGCCGCGCTGGGCTTGCGTGTTTTCCTCTCCTCTGCCCTGGGGAATGAAAACAGTCCCTTTCATGATGGATAGGCCCTTGCGCTGGTCCTTGACCCTCTGGGCGGATTTCTGCTGAGCTCTGCGGAAAATGCTCAGCACGCTTGTGGCTCCCACATGTGGGGGGTGGGGGACCGAGGGGAGGGAGGCCCTTCCCCAAAACAGAACAACAATAACAGCAGCGGACGCGGGAGCCAGGCCGGCGGGGCCTGGACAGTGTCCCGTGAAGACAGCCAGAGAGCGGCTCGCTCTCGGCAAGCACGACTCTCCGCCACGGGGCCACGGGGCTGCGGGGCTGCTCCTCTCTGGGCTCGCCCTGCTGGCTGCCCCACCTCCTCCCCAGGGACAAGACCCACAGTCTGCCTCCTCTGGGTTTCTGGTCAGGGCCACAGCTTGCGCCTGGGGGACAGGAGATGGGGGTCAGACTGAGCCCCACCCCGTAGCCTGGGTGCTGGGGGCCGCCCCTTCCCCCAGGTCTGAGGCCTGCGGTGACTTGCCTGCAGACCCTCCCACCATGGGCACTGGGGCCCCTGTCCCCACCCACACTACATAACTGCAGGGTCAGCAGGCCCTGCCTGGAAGCCCCCGGTGATGAGGGCGCTGCTGGAACAGCGGGCACACAGGCCTCGTTCCTGTGTACTGGGGTCACACTGGGTTCAGGGCAGGCCTTGGGGGATGAGGACTCACACCCGTAGCCTCCTGCCCTGCTTGGGTCAGTTCTCAGGTGTGGAGCATTCTGAGGCCAGGACCAGGTGGGGGTGGAGACACGTAGCTCCCACGTGGGTCTCCGGGCTCCACTGCCCCTCCCTTCAGAGGGCTTTGTGATGGTGACAACCTCCTGCCCAAGAAGCTGGACAGCTGGCCCAAGTGGCCCCAGTGCTGGGGAAGGACTCTGAGGCACGGGTGCCCAGAGACCCTCCCTCCTCACGGCCTCCATATCCACGTGGGAAGTAGGCCCGAGGGAGTGGGTGAGCCCTCAGCCATGCAGGCGTCAGTGCCAAGCCTTCCTGGGACAAGCAGGGCCAGGACAAGCAGTGGCCCTGGGCACCACACCATTGTCTAAGGAGAGGAATGGGCCCCGGGGGTGGCAGGTAGAAAGGGCCATCGGGCAGTGGCAGCTGGATGTGGGTGAGGACAGGGCAGACGTGGGCAGAGCCATGTCCCAGGTAGGCACTGCCAACCAGTGGTCAGTGTCCCGGAGTCCAGGGAGGGACACAGGACAGGGCAGACCTTGGAGGGATCAGGGTGGAGTCTGCTTGGGCTCTGGGACTGGTCTTGTGCCACCAGCCCTGAGGAGCTGTCCTGCAGCCTTGGTGGCAATAGGGAGAGGAGGTGCTGGCAGTGGGCAAAGCCAAGTTGTCTGTTTTCTCCTTCACGTACTTGGGGACCCAGGGCTAGGAGGGACACTGCTGCCTGCCAGACCAGAGTCACAGGCTGCATGCTTCCTGTGGCCGTCCCCGGGACAGCAGCCTCTGCACCCTGGCCCACGGTGCCCAAGCACGGCCCCAGAGCCACACACTCCTCCCCCAGGCTGAGAGGCTGCGGGCACAGCTAAACATGGCCCAGGAAGGGCTGGCCGTGCTGCACCGGGAGCTGCAGAGCAGCGAGGAGAGGCACGCAGGGCTGCGCAGGGAGGCCCTGGACGCTCGCTGGGCGCTGGGCGCCGAGGCCCACGAGAAGGGCGTGCTGCAGCGCTCCAATGCCGAGCTGCGGGCCGCTGTCCGCAGAGCCGAGCAGGAGAAGGCCAGGTGAGACCTCTAGCTGCCCAGGGGAAGGCTGGGGACACGGACCGTCCTCTGGGAGTTCCCATCCAGCAGGCACGTCAGGCCGCAAGGGACCTGCAGGAGACTGAGAAGGGCTGGGAAGCAGAACAAGGCCAAGGGCCAGGAAGGGGCTCCAGGAAGGCCCCCTTGTGGGCATGACATTGGCCAGGCCGGACCCCAGCCGGGCACCTCTGGGGTGGCAGAGGTGCCAGGCTGGGTCTGCACGTTGGGTCTCTGGGGGTGTGATGGGGAAAGGAAGAGGCAAAGAGCAGTGGGGCAAGGGGGCTGAAGAGGTGGACAGTGGGCAACGGACAGGGGCCCTACCAGCCGGGCACTTGGACATGGAGGGACATGTGCCTGGAAGGTGACAGGGAGCCCTTACGGAAGCTGAGTTTGGGGACACCATGTGGAGCTGAGACTGTGCAAGGCAGCTATGACGGTCTCCCACAGGGAGGCACTGGGGCACCCACTGGTGTCCCTGGCCCCAGCCTGTGGCACCCTGCTCAGTTTCAAACAGTCCAAGGAGGAGAAAGAGCGGAAGCTGCTGGTCCTGGAGGAGGCCCGAGCCGCGGCTCAGAGGGAGGCCGTGGAGCTGCGGGCCAGCCTGCAGGAGCTGGAGAGGGCGCGGGCACACGCGCTCCGGGAGCTCCAGGAGTGCCGCAGACAGGTGAGGGCAGCGGGGAGGGGGCCGACGTCCGAGCACGCGCTGGAACTGCCCTGGAGCCCACCCCGCACAGACGTCCTCCCGCCCTCCGTGGGCCCACCAGGCCCTCCTGGGCACCCACGGCGCTGCAGAGCAGGGGCCCAGGCTGGCCTCGCTGCCACTGCCTCTGGGGCACTCTGTCCTCAGCTGCAGAGCCACACCTGCTCAACGTGTGGGGTTCCGGGTTGGGTCTGCCCCATGGGGCACAGACGATGAGCCCCAGGATGGGGCAAAAACACGCACGTTCAGAGAGAAAGTGGAGAGCAGCTGAGGACAGCGCACTGAACTACCCCAGAGCCTAATGGCTTAAAAACATCCTGACACGCACGAACACCACAGGCAGAGACTCAGCCCCAGCATGGGGAGGAGGGGACCCTTGACCTCACTGCACCACACTGGGGCCCCAGCCAAGAAAAGGCAGGGGCTTGGGTCAGCGGAGGCGCCTGCTGGGGCTGATGCGGCTGCCAGCTAGTGCCCCACATTTCCCCCTGCACAGGGCTTGCTCACAGCATGGCAGCCTCAGAGTAGTAAGGCTCCCTGCGGTGGCTCAGGGCTGCACAACCTTGTGTCCCCATGAACAAGGCAGACGCTGCCTACACTGCACCTGATTGGTCACCAGCTGCCCAGAGCAGGAGCTTCCATGGGGCACAGAGGTCTCACCTCTCGGGGAGGCGTGTCAGAGAATTTGCTGCGTCTTGGTTAAACATCTTCAAATGATGCTAGTAAAATGTCAACTGTAAGAACGGTCCCTCTGCACCAGGCACCCCACTGCATCGCCCCCTGCGTAATCCTCGCCACCATCCAGGGCATGGCCAGTGGCGGCAGCGATGGCCGCAGCCCAGAGCTGGACCCAGCCTGAGCCTCCCAAGAGGGACCCACAGCCCGTGAGGGAGGACAGGGAGCGGAGGCAGGGTCCGGGAGGCTACCCAGGTTCTTACACAGAGGCCCACCGGTGCCACCCCCACGCTCCCAGGTGAGGAGGCTGGAGGCCGAGAACCAGAGGAAGACCCGCGAGGTGAGTGGGCTACAGGCCCGTGGGACGCAGGACGCACAGCGCCAGCAGCAGAGCCAGCAGGAGGCACTGGGGCTGCAGAGGCAGGTGGCTGAGGCAGAGGCTGCCCGCGAGGGGGCCCAGATGGAGGTAGGGATCTGCCTCCCCTGCTCAGAAGGGTCGATGGGAGCTGTCAGGGTGGGGTGGCTAGGTCAGGCTGGATATAGAGGAACACCCAGGACAGAGTCCTAGAGGGGGACAGGAGGGAGGTCCAGGGCCACCCCATCTCCCCACTGTCTCCCACGTGCACCTGTGGGTCTGTGCACTGTCCTCCTCCCGATGTGACCATGCACAGTGGACTAATCCAGCTAAAGTGATAACCACTTCCTGCCCTGGATTTCCCAGGGTTTCGTGTATTAGAAAGGGGCAGGCTCCGGGTGAGGCTCCAAGTTCTGAGCCCAGGAGAGACAGGGAGGCCCTGAGATGACCGATGCTCAGAGACCTCAGGGTGCCGAGCTCACACCCACATCTGCACACACCACCCACTCCTGATGCCTACATGTGTGTCCCTCACCCCCAATACACGCACACACACCATGTCAGCTCCAAAGAACCTCTGTTCAGTCCTAGCCCAGCCCCACTGGTTCTGTTTGCTGAAGAGCTGTCTGTCCATGGCCAGAGGTCTTTGGACCCCAGCCCAGCATGGAAGCCTCCCCGAACCTCTGCCATCCTCAGCCTGCATGGGTCCCCCAGGTTCAGACCCTGTGTCGTGCACACTGTGGCCACTCTGAGCACCCGGCACGCCCAGAGAACATGGGGCTAACCTCCCTCAGCACAAGTGACCCACCCCCATGACTTTGCAGCCCCACACCTCCGGCTGTGAATGGGGTCCTCATGCCGTGGCCACGCAGGGAGCAAGCAGAGATGGGCCAGGCCCTGCACCTGCAGGCCACACACCCCAAGGGCGCTGTGTCCCCAGTGACTCTGCACTAACTCAGTGTTCAGGGCCACCTCGCGTGAGTGCAGGCACGCACTGGGGCTGCGGCTGTAGCAGAGGCTGGCTCAGCTGGGAATGAGGGAGGGGCTGCTGCAGGGGGTAGCAGGATGGGGGCAGGGGGCTGGCCCTGCAGAGCATCATGGGGGACTGTGGAGGCCTGGGAAGGGGGCCAGGGCAGGGGTGGAGTGAGGAAGGGTGGCCCGGCCATGGGAGGCGGGAGAACGTCGACGCCCCCCAGCCCCGGTCTCAGGATGACGCTGACCCAGTGTCTGCCCCACAGGCCTGAGCAGGTGAGCACAGGTCTGGCCAGAGGGGGTTCCATGGCTGTCTAGCTGGGGCTTTTCAGGGACTGCCAGCAGGGCTCCTTGCTCTGCCAGGACCTGCCCTGTGGCCCTGGGGTCCTGTTCCCAGCTGAGCTCAGGTACCCCCCCAATCCCCCTCTGGGAGGCAGATCCAGGGTCCCCTCCAGCTGTGACCTGCTGAGGGCAGGGTGAGCCCAGAGGCCTGGGGGTAAGTCTTCACAGGGCAGATGGGTCTGGACAGTGACCCGGGCTCCCCCTGTAAACCTAGCTGCCCCCTTGGTCACCCAGCAGCAGGTGACAGGAAGCTCCATCTGCGCCCCCCCCCCCCCCCCCCCCCCCCCCCCGTGTCCCTCCCACAGGTCCTGGGGCTGCAGCGGAAGCTGGCGGAGGCGGAGGCTGCGGGGGAGGCCCAGGAACAGCAGCTGGAAGAGCAGCTGCGCAAGAGCCGGGGGGCCGAGCGGACCCTTCGGGCGGAGCTGCGCAGTGTCTCCAGGAAGCTGCGGCACGCCAGCGGGGTGGCTGAGGGCCTCCAGTCTCGCCTGGACAGGGCCTGTCACCGGATCCACAGCCTGGAGCAGGAGCTGGCCCAGGCCGTGGGCGCCCAGCGGGACGCGGAGGCCCAGCTGGGCCGTCTGTGCTCCACACTGCGCCATAGCCTGGGGCTCCAGGGACAGAGTCCCTCGGCTGCCCCTGAGCAGCCCAGCTCCCCCACCAAAGGTCAGTGCTCTCATTGACTGTGACTGGGCTCCTGTCCCAGCGCTGTCCCCTGCCTGAATCCCCCAACCCCTCCCTGGGCCTCACAACCCTCACGGTGAGGGGCCTGGACCAGCCCCAATCAATTTTAGGAGACTTTGCCCCACGCCCAAGCTCCCATGGGCAGGGGCAGCAGAGAGAATGGGGGAAGGTCACCCGTGTGTCTGTCACCATGTCCCTGCCCACGTTTCCTCCACTCTCTCCTCCTGAAGGCTCAGACAGCTTCCAGGCTCACCCTGGGTGGCAGGGTGCCAGCCCCCCCACCAGCCCCTGGCCTGCGCCTGGAGACCTCAGTCCAGAGGTGCAGGACACCCTGGGGAACTTTGTGCAGAAACTTTGGGATGCCCAGAGTGAGCGGGTAAGACGAGGCTGGGGTCCTCCCTGCGCACATTGGCACACACCCTAGGGGGCTCTGAGAGATGGGAAGAACCCATCCACTCCTTCAGACTGCTGTCCATCTGTCCGTCCAACCCCAAGTCTTCTAGACTCTGGTGGGGCCCTGCGGTCAGTGCCAGACCATCCTTTGTCATGATAAACACCAATAATGTCACGGTCCCTCCAAACCCAGCTGCCACAAATGGCTAGGGCCACCCCCTTCTCAGACCAGGCAGCAAAGCCCCTGGAGACAGGCCCTGCTGGGATGCCACCAGGGTCCAGGGCCTTCTACATCCATACTGTACTGTCCCCCCCACAGGGGCCAGGCATGCTGCAGGACAGACCCCGCCAGGTCACATGTGCTGCTGGCCCCAGGGTCCCCCACAGACAGGTGGCAGGGTGGGCATGAGACTCAAGTGGGTGGGGCTGACTGTCACCCAGACCTGACCCAGGGTCCTTCATGGGTTCCTGTTCCCTTCAACCCACCCTGTCACCACTGCCAGCCCCACAGGCAGGGTCCTGACCCCACTCACCCTAGCCAGAGGACAGCCCCTGCAGGTCACTTGACCCACAGGCTGTGGCCCCCATCTGGCAGCTCCTAACTCCACGTCCCCCCAAACTCAGGCTCAGGCCACACAGCAGCCCATCGTGGCCTGCCCAGGCATGTGGCCCAACGTGGCCCAGCCTCCCTGGTACCCACCACCCACCCTGCCTCACTGCCTTACCCCGCGTGTCCCCAAGCTAGACCAGGAGCTGCCGCACCTGACCCCACCCTCTCACTCACCCGTGGGCTGCCTGCCGACCTCCCTCCTCCTGCCCAGGACGTGCAGGCAGCGCACCTGCTTGGCCGGCTGAGCAAGGCTGAGCGCAAGCGTGCCCGAGCCCACAGCCACATGGGGCAGCTGCAGGAAGCCGTGGTCCAGGCGGAGGAAGGTGACCTCCATCCCCACCCTGCCTCCAGGAGGGCTGTGAGGGGCACCGCCATCTCCCCACTCCTGCCTGCCATCCACGTGTGGTCCCCACAACACCCAGGCCCAGGCGGGGGCCAACACCCAAACCAGCACGCTCCCCAAGGCTGCTCAGAGCTTGGCAGCTGCCGGGTCACTTCTTGGCAGGAGAATAAAGTCTAGAGACCCCTGAGGCCCTCCCCAACCCTTCCCTCAGCCCCCCACGTGCAGGCCTCCTGCCCTTCCTACCTCAGGGCCTTTGCACCAGCTGTGCCCCCAGCCTGGCACCATCCTCCCCGGAGAGCCACAGCTCATCTTCCCATCCAGGATTCTGCCCTTTGTCCTGTGCTCAGAGGGGCCCCCCGCCCTGCCCCACCCCACCCCACTACACGAGTTCATCTGCTTCCTGCCCCCCATTAGAGGGTCAGCCCAGGAGGGTGGTCCCAGGAAAGAGGGCAGGACAGGAGGAGAGGCAGCGGCGGGAGAGCCTGGAGCCCAAACAGAGGGTGCAGCACCAGAGGCCATCCCCCATCCCCGGGATCCCTGAGCTGCGAGGATGGACGCATCTCCCCTGCTCACCAAACCGATGCCCGTCACACCCACTGAGCCTCAGTTTGCCAGCCTGTGAACTGCATGAGGATGGTCCCCAGTGCGGCAGCCCACAGACCTGCGGGGCTTTGGGAGCCTCATGGACATCTGTTTGCCCACAGGCCAGCGCCGGGCAGAGGCCATGCTGAGCAGCGCCCGGGCATCGCAGGCCCTGCAGGAGGAGGCGCTCCAGAGGCTGGAGACGCAGCGCCTGGCGAGTGCACAGGCAGCAGGCCAGGAGAAGCGGCAGCTCCAGGTGGGGCATGTGGCACGGCCACTCGGCCACCCTCCCACCCTGGGAGGTGGCCACA